CCTGACTGCCCTGACATCATCGTGTTTATCACATCTGCTGAGACTGTGAACATCTGGAGTCTGACTGAAGAAGTGATCTGTCGACGCGTGCAGCTCCCAAGCAACTTCTTGAAAAACCTGGAAGATTTTGAAATTTCTCCCAATGGGAAGCTAGGCATTATATCCCGGGGAGATGAAAATATCAATGTTTTAGATTTACACAGTGGAAAACTGAGGGTGGTTCACGCCTCTGGGGTCATCTGGAGGCAGAGACTTTCTAGAGATGGTCGCTATCTGGTATATATTTGTTTCCGGAATGGGGAGGAGGAAGAGGAGGAAAATGATGCAATATCTAGCTTAATTGTAATGAGACTGGCTGATGGCAAAAATATCGGTGCTTGTTCCCTTTACAAAACACCAACTTTCCTTGCTCTCTCACAAAGACACCTGAACATCATTGTTGGCTTTGAAGATGGGAGTATAGGAATATACACCGTTGTGGACCGTGTAGATGCTGCACTGAAAATCAAAATCGCCACTTCGAATAGCAGGCAGATTTTCAATAACGCAACACACACATCCAGGCCAAAGTCAAACAGTTACTCCTTTAAAGTATCTGTGGACTGTTTATGGAGAGAGTCCACTGAGGTCTTTGCAAGAGACAGCCCCATCACAGTGAGTGACTCCTCAGAGTCCAACGAGGCAACACCCTCCAAGAAACACAACTCTTGTTATGACCGGGTATGTGCTGCCCTAGAATCCCGGAGCCACAGCTACACGCCAGATAACTGACATGATGTTTATCCTGCTCAACTGAAATACATAATCCACATACAACAGAAAAAAAGAAAAGTACACCTTCTGCATCATAAATGATAATCTGCTCATTTCTTAAAAGCAGGAAAGATGCTGGAATTTTCAATGAATTAAAATCATTATAGAAAGAACAGAACTGTGAGACTCAACTTGGGTGGCATCTTTTCATCCAAATGTAATAGACAAATAAGAGAACTTCTGTATGTGATATGAAATGGCCATTTCACCTAGAAGAGAGAGGATAAAGTCTTTTATATTTGCTGTGTAATAAGAATCAACACAATTCACTAAAATGATTCAGATGAGAGAAGCTAGACTTACAGGTAGACCAGTTGGACTAAAATTACTTCTACAGTTGAAATCATGTTGGCAGAGAACTATTTGATTCTGAAAGGTGGTATGATAGCAAATTGCAGCCTTAATCTCTCTTTACGTTTCTCAATCCTGACAACTGTGTAAACCTAGTCTGCACACAAGAGGTCTAACGGTGCAAAATCATTGTAAGAAAAATGTCCAAATGTGTTCCAGTTTCCCAAGAGACCACATAAAATGTGAGATAGTGAACAGACTGGGACAATAACTAATTAACACTATTATAGGGCTACTGAACATGGAGAGTCGGTCTTCATTAAAATACACTCACAATGACTGCATGCAAGGGTTTCTGTGTAATGGAATATATAATTTTTAAACTGTTTCTTTCTTGGATTGCAAGAGAACCCACTTAATAACAAACCGAAATCTTTTCACACCTTTTTCTTGAGATGCATAAATGTGCTGAGTGTAAAGAATTATAGCAAGGGCGTTACAAACTTGGTCAAAACACCTGTTAATTTCTTTCATTGTACTAACAAGAGTCTGTACTCTTCGGTCAGCTGTTGGGAAGCCTAAGTTATTTCCCAGACCCCTGCAGTATCTCTTAGTAGAAAAGCAAGCTTTTTAAACACACCATCTCTGATGACATTGCCTTACTCTCATTCCTCCTCTTCCCTGTGTAAAATGCAGATAAATGACCAAATACTCTGGGACAAACAATATGCCTGTCTCTGTGCTAAAATATTCCATATATCTTAAGGGTGTCCAAAGGTTCTTATCATCCCTGTTTGTAATCACTTTCTTACTCCTACACACTGTATGTATGCTTCCTTATCTGTCCTACTTCCAAACTGAGGACTTTCCTAATCTTCCATTTCAGCAAAAACTATGAAATGGTATAGGGGGGAAACACACACACACAACTTTACCAATTTGAAGAAAAATGCATCTCAGAAGGTGGAAGTGCTTTTCTTCCTTCCATGTCATTTCCTCCACAAGGCATGTCCTGGAAGAACTTTCAAGGAAGAGCAGTGACTGGTTTGATTTTCTTTAAAAGTAGGGTTACTAAAATCAGAAGAATGGGCAAGGAACTGGCTTGCTTTTGTCACAGCTCTGCTGTAAACTCATCATGCACCTGTAGCTCGATCTTTAACCCCACCAGTGTACGTTTTTGTGGACTGAAAAATAAAGGAGGTGATGGGTTCTGCTACAGCCTGCAAGCCTGGATGGGATGCCAGGAGCGATGTGAGAAACACATCACAGCTGTGACATGCTGATTGCAGACATGGGAAAAAGAAAATTACCCATACCCATAGTGAATCCAAGTCAATTGTATTTCACTAGTGAAAGGATTTAACATGTAAGCATTCGAAGGTGTCACTCAATTATCAACAGCCTACTCCCGTGGTGAAACACTTATTGCAATGTGTTCCTCCTAGTTTAGCTACCAGTCAGTAGGTAGAAGCCTGGGGAGATCCATATACTCATCATCTGGAGCCCATACTTTTAGCTCTTCAGCGGACACATTCTTATTCCTGTCATTATCAGTTGAACCTCCAAAACCACGCATTTCTAAGAGTTAAATGCCTAGATGGATTAAATGTAGTGTGTGAGTGTTCTGTGTAAAAGCCAATAGAGTATATCAAGTGACCTGAATGATTTTTCCTAACATGTTTGCAACTGATAGCTCATATTGAATGTTTTTATGTAAACTTTGTATTGTTGGGGTGAACTACCCAATCAGAGATTTATATTTTCATAAATGTTACATTTAGTTAAATTTTGTTACAGAGTTGTTACACTAGAAAATTATTTCCGTGTTCAAATAATATACAGTCTTGTGTATGTATTGTTTGTATGAATAAAAGATGAGCTACTTAAATTTGAGTGCTGTTCATTTTTTTTTTTTTATTTTCACCGATGAGCCTGGCCAGAAGTAGAAGACCTCAAGTACCAGTAATTATTCAAATTTACCAAAGGTACACTAAGACTGTTCCGGAAGCGCTCCAGATACAAAGCCATGCCATCTACACCACAGCCTGGTGAGTTTGGTACCATTACTACTCCACATTTATAGGTGAGAAAGCTTAGACATAAAGACTGTGGACATGACTCCAGTGAACCGTCCTTGGTACCTTTCTAAAAGCCCATCAAAATATTCAGTACCCAGTAGCCACTCACTGACAGTAACTCTTCTAAGATATTTACTAATTTGCAGTTGAGAGATTCAGCGAGCATATTAAAGACCACTAGAAGTTACCCAGAAATGCCTGAGTTTATGTTGTTTTGTTTTTCCCTTTTCCCCTATATACAGAGATACTTGATGAGTTCAGTCAGCAAATATCTACCTAATCACAAGTTTCACAGAAGAACACAGAGGTAAATAAAATAGATCTTGCCTTCTAGAATTTTAGACTCAATGAGAAAATGGGGGAAAACAGTAAGTTCCCTATGCACGTGTGCAAGAGCACACAACTTCCTTTTATGGTTGAAGCAGGGGAAGATGATGACCAAGGACTAATGCCACTCATAAATTCCTAGGTGTGTGAGCAAGACCTGAGAGAACCTTCCCAGATCCCTTTACACACACACACACACACACACACACACACACACACACACACACACAGGTCTGAGAATTCCCATATACACCCTTTGCCCCTAAACATGGCAATATTGGAAAGCTTCAGCGATGTAAAGATAACCGGAAAAGTCTTGTATGTAGTTCTCAACAAAACAAACTCTCAAAAACAATCAAACAAACAAACAAAAAAAATCTAAAAATTCAACTTTTAAAAGAAAACTAAAGACCCTCCCTCATCTTTCTGACTGAAACGAACCTCAAAATTTCTCCCCACTGACTCTAAAATCCCAAGACAAATTCCAGAGTCTTGTTTTGATCAGAATAACCCAACTCATGTATAAATGGACCAGTATCCTATGGAAACTTCTGACAAGGCTGAAAATTGACCCTGAGAGTCATTTATTGTGACAATAATTTTTTTCTTCAAATCAATAAATAACACTTAGCAACGTATAAATTCTCTCATAAATCTACCATTTAAAAGTGCACAGCTATTTTAGTACGAGAATGCGCCAAAAAAAAAAAAAAAAAAAGCGTTCTCCCATAGAGCATGGTAAATGCCTGTGAAGGCAGCAGGCAACTTAAAAGTAAACCCTGTGAGAAACTAAGGGCCTTGGGTCTTTGCAAAGTCCTCAATCCGGTTCTTCAGCTTTGCGGGGGTTTTTTGTTTGTTTGTTTGTTTTGTTTTGTTTTGTTTTGTTTTCCCTCTCACTGCAAGCCTTGGAGAGTGGAGAGGAAAGCGAGTAAGCTAGATGGCGCAGTTGCTCAACACATTTCCCTGACAAGCTTCATAGCCCTTGGGCCAGGTGTAAAAAGGAGACCCAAACCTTAAACCGAGAATTCCAGGCGTAAGCCACCGGCTCTTCACCCATTATAGGTCAAGCTCCGTGTGTTTGGTGCAGCGCCCCACATCCTGACACCCCAAGGGAAGGAAGGGGCCTGGAACCAGGGTCCTTCCATTCCACCCACTCTAACCTTTAGGGCGCAGGCAAGCGAGCTGGCGCAGCCCCTGAAAAAAAAAGGATCTGTGCTCTTCGCCTAGCCACCAGGCGGGCGACGAAGCAGTGCGCGCACGATCTGCCAGCTGCAGCGGCTGGCTGGCTCACTGATCCCTCACTCCAGCCTGGATCGCTGGATGCCCCCTTGTCCCTGCAGTCAGCGCAGCGCGCGGGCTGAGCGCAGGTAAAGGGTTACGCGTGCCTGGGAGGCTCGCCCCGCTGCCCGCCCACGTGACGCACTGGCCCAGTGACCGCCGCTCCGGCTGGGCTCGGCTCCGGCTGCAGGCGCGCCGGGCTCCCGGTGGCACTGACCCGGCGTGGACACCCGAGGCCCGCGAAGCCATGGGCACCCGGACCCTGGAGACGCCACCCCGCCGCAGGTAAGCAGCGTCCCGGGTCCCGGCCCCACGCCGGGCTCCGCGGGGAGGAGGAGGGCTGGTCCTGGGCGGGAGTTCCTGCGTCGCTCTTACTTCTTGGATCCTTCCCTTCTGGAGGGACGCGGGGAGAAGCGAGGCGAGGGGACCCATGGTTTGATAACTTCGGGGGGAGAAGTCACGGAATTCAACCTAGGCGCGGGAAGAGAGACAAGCTGGCGGACGACACGGTTCGGATCCCCAAACTAGGGGCGCCCGTGCTGGTAGTGTAAAACTGTTTTTAGTTTCCCAGTTCATGAACTCTCAGCCGAGCCTAGGTACTTAAACTGGACAAACTGCAAAAGATTTCCCCATCTGCATATGTTCGGGGTTCGCCATGTTTTAGCATCTGGGGAGGAGGGAGCTTTTGTTGAATGCAACGGGACAGGGCATTTGACCGCCCCCGCCCTTTCTTTGAAATGCCCTTGGGTTCTGGGACTGGGTCTAAGGCGATGATGGCAAGGGTGCCTCTAGGGACTGCGACGCTGAGATGCGACGCTGCGGGGCTCAGCAAGAGCCTGGGAGTAGGAAAGTGGGCGCCAGATGGGAAAGGTTTAAGTGGTCGAACTGTAAATATCTAATAAGCAAGCATCTCCAGGTCTGTCACCTAGGTCTCCGTGGCCTGGCCAGGCCTGATGAAGTGATATTTTCATAAAAAATCACCAATAAAGACTTCCCAGTAACACCAGGCAGATATCAGTGGGGCTTTTTATATCTCTCAGGATTGTAATTAACCTTAAAAGCAAAACAAAACGACCCCCTCTCCAGTGACTCAGAATGTTTTTGTTTTCCACCGTGGTATAGACACTTGCGCGGTAGAGAGGAAGTGGGTATTCTAGGAGACGCTTCCAATTAAAGAAAGGGTGTTTGTGGTCTCCCTGCAACTGTTTGTACGAATGGAACGTGTCCGTGGTGGCTTGTGTATGGATGCTTTGGGTGGTTGTAACTTATCTGTGGTGAAGAACAGCCGCGGGAGAAAAACCAAAAGCCTGCAAAATGGATGCAAAAAGAAATGGGAGCAGTTTCTTGTAGAGATGGTTAGGTTCTATGTTTGCTGGAGTTTTTACCCCCATATAACTTAGCTGCTAATACTGTTTTAAGAAGGATACAATACTATCTACCATATAGTTTTCCGGTTAATACTTGTTTGAGGATACAATAGCCCACTACACCTAAGCACTAGTGTCCCCAAAACACCATGCTTGGCTGTCCCTTTGGTAAAAATCCCTGTGCCAGGGAAGATCTCTGTAACATGAGTTGCCATCATTTAGAAGAGTGCTGCATGGGTTGTTTGTGTTTCTCCAAAGTGTGAAAACTCAGTAAATGGCCAGTTGCAACACGTGCCGCCAGGCCACAGATACAGGACAGTAATTTGTGTGGTTCATTTCTCCTGGTCACCCACTCTGCCCACCTTTTGATCTTGCTCCTTCACTTATTTTACAAATAAATGTTTATTTTATGCCCCTCGGAACTCATTGTCAGTGGAGGAGATTTTGATATCTAATAATGTCTAAAATTAGATGTGGCCCAAGTTCCACTACATTCCAAAGAGATTTTAGACACCTGGAATTTAAAATGGGAGGGGGAAAAAAACTTACTTCTCGCTTGAGCACATACTATGTCCCTAGAAATGGAAGGATTCCCTGACTTCTGACCCAGCACTTCTCAGAGCCTGAAAATGGTGTTCTCTAAGCTGTGGATAGGAGCCAGTCTCTGGCGCCAAGGCAAAGCATGTGCTGAGCCTTTTCCACTCAGAACTGCCTGGTTCCCCGGGAGCCCATTGCTTGGGTGTTTCCTGATAACTGAATACTAACCTCCTTGGAGTTAGTTTCTTCTTCCTAAACAGTGTCTCACATGTTCCTCCTAGTTCTACAGTTTCCCAGTGACCCTGAATCTTGGGCTCTTTCGGGTTATCCATTAAAGAACTTATTTCTCTTCTAATTTCATCATTAGAGTGGTTGCCTGGTTAGATGGTCTCCCTAGATAATTCAGAAAAGCAGAGCAGGCAAGAGCTGACTGCACCATCATGGGGGAAGACAGGCTTGGAGAACTCCCTGGCTGCAGGTCAGGTCAGGCAGATGCCCAGTCATGGGTCTCTTTATTTTCTGCTCTTAACCCCAGAGCTATGCTGGCCCCTCACTGAAACCTGCCTCACTCCGGTTATTTCCTGAATGTCACTGAAGAGAACAAACTGAAATCAACTCATTCATCCGCTTGTTTACATTTTTCCCCATGAATGTCATAGTCCCACAGAGACTGGAATCTTCAGAAAGATTGTAGACTGTCAAAATGACCCTGTCTTAAAATATACTTAAAGCCATGAGCTGTGAATATGAGAAGCTGATAATGAAATAGCTTTAACCTATGATTCAGTGTTGTCAGAAACCCTAGACACTACTGAGCTGCAGTGAATGTTAACCAAGATCAGATATGATGACCTTAGTTACACGGTTATAACTTAGTTAATATGGTGTCTGAAATTTTACTGCGGGCATTGAGATCTATTCAGCACACGAGTATCTCTCTAAAGTCAAATGAACTCTGGCCTGGCCTTAGAGACCATGCATGTGTGAATCCACTGACTCCAGTCAGGGTGCTAGGGACACACACAGCTGCTGCCCAAAGAATCCAGTCTTGGGAGAAACCTTTGAAGCAAGGCACATATCTGTTCTTGAAAGTTTACTCTGGCTGCAGTGAGGAGGTTGGAATGGGGGAGTCTACAAACATGGCCAGAGGTAGCCACTATACAGATTCACAGAACAGCAGAAGGAGAAGAGAATCAATTCAGAAGCTATTCAGGCACCTACAATCTTAACTGTAAGGGCGTTCCAACGACTCCCGCCGTCTTCTATGTTATTTACATGCCATTTCCAAATGAGTTTCCCAGTCCCCAGGTTGGTAACCATAAGCTCTGCTTCAACACAGTGCTGCCCTTATGAAATACGGTTATACTCCACTCCGCATAGTGTGTTTCCATTACAGAAAGAAGGTTATTAAAATAATGATGTTCATATTTTTAGCAACTCACTGCTTCCTCATGTAGACTTTGGCGTGTTAAGGCAAAAGTAAAGATGAACTATCGCCTCATATAGACCCCCTCTCGTGTACCTTAAATTCCTGTTGGAACAAAAGTCTCCTGACTTTGGGTTGTTTGGTCCACAGGTTGGCCCGTGCTTTGTCACCCACAGGACAGCCTGTGTTTGGAAGAGTATTAATGGTCTGTGGAAATCATTTTGTGCCGGGGAGGGGAGTCTTCCCAGTAGTTGATGCCCAGCTGAGCGCAACATGTACTGGTATATTATACATTTTTCAATTTTGTTTTTTGAAATTCATTGTTCATTAGCCCTGAAGAAGATAGCTGCAGAAAGGAATTTTGAAATTTCTTTAAATCTCACCCACTCCCCGTTCTCCAAGCCACCCCTACCCCATCTGATAACTGAGTACCTAAACTGGTCAGTCGTATGAAGTTAATGCAAAGCTTTGGCTGGAGCTATAAAATAGTGTACTTCCTGACTAGACTGAAGGGCAGCTATCACGTCTTCCAAACATGCACTGCTGCCTAAAGTGAGTGCACAAAGTTGGCTTTTCCCCTGTAAATCATTGTCATTCTACAACATTAATTCTTCTCTGGCCCCTGATGAGCTTAGCTATTTGGGTTCATAGTCCACAAAGAGAATCCGCCCTAGTGGTTCAATGCATGGCTGTTGTGATAACAGTAAGATATTTTAGTAATGGCCCACTGTAAGCTAGCAAAGAAATACAAGGAAGTTTGTCAGAGATTAAATCAGCAAAAAAAAATAAGTTATTATTATTGTTATTATCAGAGTTCAGAACTGTCTTTTAGTAAATAAGCATTAAAAAGAAAGAAACTAAAGTAGTCAATTGACCTAAGTAATTTAAAATGGAAGAAAAAGGAAACAAAGAGTTTGAGAGAGTTTGTCAAACAATATCATAGAAGTTCATATAGCTGCCCACTAGGTCCCAGAATTTGAGTCTTGGTTCTTAGTTCTTCCTGCTACTGACTAACCATCATAAATTTTAGGATACAGAAATCCCATTTTTCAATTAACCTTTGCCCTAAAATGTAGTTAACTTCTGTGTTTATTGAAAAATTGCTTGTATATACAGCAATAGTTACCTGTTGCTGTGTAACAAATGGCCCGAGGATTAGTAACACGTGTTTGTAACAAACACAATGATCTAAAATAACCTCTGTTTGTTGAGTTTATGGTCCTGTAGGTAAGCTGTTGGGACTGTGTTCAGCTGGGTGAGTCCTACCCAAGCTCGTCAATGTGTCTGTGCTCACCAAGGTGCCTTTGAGTTTTAGCTGGCTGTCTCCTGAGCACAGGAGGCTGAGTTCATTGGTTCCAAGACTTTCCACCTGTTGTCTCTACATGGCGTTAGGAGGGAGAGGGCAAGGCCCTTTGAGGCCTAGGCTCAGCTGATCCTACTCATTCAACAGCAAGTCAGGGAGCAGTTCTAATGCAGGGAGCGGAGAAATAGACTTCACTTCTTAATCCAAGGAGCTACAAAATCACATTTAAAAAAAAAGAAAAAAAAAAAGAAATTCCTTGGATTCAAGGAGAGGTAGACACTTGCAGCCCCTTTTCAAAGCCTGCCATATCAATCCCGCATTTTACACAATTCACTAAACTTCTGGTGCCTGTAGCTAAGGTAGAATTCCTCCTACCTTGCAGGTAAGGAAGCTGAGATCCAGATGTGTTAGTCGGGGTCAGGCAAAGGACACAGCTGGTGAGTGGTGGGTGTTGGCTTTGGATCCTTGATCTGACTAGAAGCCACCAAGCAATACTGCTTCTGTGTTCTGCCCCCAGGGAGAGGCGTCAGAAGTATAGAGCTGGGAAGAATAGCTTCTAGTATTATCTCAAATTTCCTGGCATCATCTTTGTGTTTTAAGTCTTATTTCTCGTTTGTTTGTTTGTACTTGAGAGAAGGTCTCACTGTCTATC